GTTTAACTGTGTATCATGATATTGCAAAAATAGGTAAGGGAACAGTTTACATCGTTATAAGACTGAGTTCAAACAAACTATTTTTAGTTATGACAAAATGATACATAATATGAATTCGATCAGCAAAACAGACATATTCCTACATTTTTTAGGGGATTCAAGTTTTCCTGTGGAAATGGTTGGATATACGAATCGCAACAATTTGACCATCCTTTCCAGACTTCATAGCATGGTACTTAATCTGAAGACCTGTTTCAACATTCAAGTGAGAATCAAGCATAGGTTTCATTGAGCTGAAATCACGGATATATGCACCATCGTATTGTATAAAAGGAAAGTGAATGAACAGTTTATAGAAGCTTTTGGCAATTAGATAGCGAAGTGGCTGAATTAAGAAAGCCGTTTGTCTGAAACCAAAGAATTAAGTAAGCTTTAGGTCACTGATGTTTGTTTCATGTGAGATTTAAAAACAAGGATCAGTAAAACATTTGAAAGCAGATTAATTATTACCTTCATTCTCTTCCAGAGTCATTCTCAATGCAACCGCGTGGAGGGTAAGCATGGCTTTTGATTCCCTGTTACGTTGTGGCCCCACCGATGATTCATTGAAGGCATCTAACACATAAAAATATATATATCATAAATAACATAAGGGATCTCAATTTGAGCACGAAAGCTTTCTACAGAATCTCTTGAAATAAGCATATGGAGGATTGGAAAACAATGAAGATACCTCTATCCTCGAGATGCTTAATGTCAAAGAGACCACAAAAGGCACCATCAGCACGCTTGTTGATATTACAGACTCCTAATGCTTCATAATCCCAGCTGCCATCTAGGAATCCGTCACTGAGGAAGAGTTCGATATGCCTAGCATTCAAGGTAAATATTGGTCCTGTTTTACGAAAGAGTGATATTCGATATTATAATTTTGTACGGTTAATGTCAGATTGACTTCAGGATATTTGATTATGTGAAAGGTGGATGCTAGGGGTATACTTGTCGAGTAAAATGAAAGAGACCCATATTTTGTTTTTATTTACCGGGATAATTTTGTTTTATAGTATGTCCAGATAGAATGTACGGAAACTGAAGCCCCTAAAAGTAGGTCAGAAACTTATATCTATGACAAAGATCAATGAGCTGATAGAAAGTACAATAGTCATGTTTGAACTCACCGTGAGATGGATCCGAGCACTCGCGCAGCAAGTCTTCGAGGATAATCAGGTTGGATGTGTAGAAAGTTAGAAAATATGAAATATATAAAGATACTGGAAATTGTGGAAAACGAATTGCAAGGATAGTTAACTTACCAGCAATCCAGATTCCATATTTGACATTGTTTAACACAAGGCCGCCAGCTCTGACATCTGGTTTGCGAATTCCGAGGGGATTAACTAAACTCTCAGTCAGCTTCAGCAGGGCAGAAGATGAGTGAAAAATAAAAGCTCCAATCCGCTTCCACTCTGATCAGCAATGCCCTCACTAACTCAACCATTGAATAATCCAGTAAAATGAATGAAGAGAACTATATGATTACCAAAACACTTCTCCGGATGACGGAACAAGTAAGAGTGACTTCCATCTGCAAAGGTTAATTGCCAACTCTTGACATGAGTAAATATAAACTATCAAACTAAGGAAGCTAAATAATACCAAAAGCTAACGCATAGAGTTTTTTCCAGCTGAATGTTGCTAATTTTCCGGGGTCAGGAAGCTCAAAATCACGCAAACATGCATACTTCCACACGTCATCTTCCCTCAGAACATCACGAAACCATTTGCAAGTCACTGCAAGCATCACTAGAGATCTACCATCCAAGTACTTTGCAATCTCTGTCCAAATATCCTCTTGATACCTTTCCACATTCAGGATAAACATCAACATGAATCAAATATGTTAAAATATATACAGCAGTTATCTATCCTGTTATATATGTCGAACATTACGAGAAGACTTCTCCTTTAAACCAAGTTCAAATTCAACACTGAAACAATTTCCACATCTCAGTTTTATCTCCTCAACTAGTAAAAGTGAAGCTCAGATCAGCTCAGCTCGGCTCTATTTAAAGTAAAAAATTTCTCACACTGCTCATATCAAAATGTATCAATAAGTCCAACCAGTCTCAGCAAATATTGACGCCTACAAATGAAGTTCCAGATGAAACAGAACAATGAGCAAAAATATACATAGCTAATGTTCAATTGAATCAAAATCGTCACGATATTCCAATGGATTCAGCTCACTTAAAGCAGAACATGCCCGTAACACAAACTTTAACTCGAGTTTACTACATATCTTAACTTGCGTTGAGAAGAGTTACAGTTACATATAACAAAAAACTACTCGGTCGGAGAACAAAATCAAAGCGTGAATCCAAATCCTCAGTTTCACCTCATCAGATAATAAACGGAATAACGCCAGACAGAACTAAAATCAAGCTTCATTTGCTCTCGAATGAAAACAAAACAAAGGCTGGGAAAGTGAAATTGAACTCATAGATCAGTCAAGTACCAGCTGAAAATCGGCGATTGAGATTTATTACTGAATGAGGTTGTCGGCGATTGAGAATTATTGATCGAGGTTGTCGGAGAGATACAGCAAAATGTTGACAGCAGTTTATCCAAGCGCTTCCCCATTCTGAATTCCTCCTATCTTCTGTTGCCAAACTTCACAAGTGTACGATGTTGTCTGAGGTTTGAAATGCGAGCCCCTTTATTTATAGTCGCGGGTCACAGAAGAGGAAATTCAAATCCTATTAATTAATCTGAAATAAAAACCGTGCGTGTGTGTACTAGAGAACTAAAATGAGTATAGGGAATGAATAACTAGAGACAGAATTGCTTCTCTTTTGAATTCAGTGAAAGAGATTTTGTTTTAGACAAAATAATATATATTTATATAGAGATTGGATCCAATGAATCCAAATATTTAAAGTGTGAATGTGAGACTCATATTTAGCTATTAGATTGGTACATTATGTGTGGCTAAAATTAACTCTTCAATTAAATAATAATTCTTTATTTTTATTACTTATTTTTTATTTTTATTATTTTAATTATTTAAATATTATTTTGACAATTGTCCATTGACTTCGGCGTTGACCGTTGACTTCCAGCGTTGACTGTTGACTTTCAACATTGACCGTTGACCCTTAGTATGCATTGTGTATGAAGTAAATATGCACTTAGTATGAACTAAATATGCATCAGAAATGAATTATATATGTTATCCTTATGAACTAAATATGCACCAATAATATCAACTATGTATGCACTGTTTATGTACTAGATATACACATTTTACTACCTAAATATGCATCATGAATGACCTAAATATGCAACGAAAATATGCAATAAAATACACATTTTATACAACTAAATTAAATATAATAATTAATGATTTTTATTATATAATTAATTTTAATTTTCAATTGTTTAATAACACAAATAAATTGTTATGATTGGATCACAAATAAAATAGGTATGCATTGTTCATGAACTAAATATGCATTTCGTAAGAACTAAATATGTATCATGAATTAACTAAATATGCATCATATATTAACTATATAAACATCATTATATATTCAATTTAATTAGAACAAGTATGCATTTCGTATTAACTAAATATGCATCATAAATTATCTAAATATTAATAATAAATTAACTAAATATGCATGATAAATTACCTATATAAAATGTACATTTTTATTGCATATTTTTCGCTGCGTATTTAGTTCATTCATGATGCATATTTAGTTCATAACAGATGCATATTTAGTTAATAACAGGTGCATACTTAGTAGATATTATTGGTGCATATTTAGTTCATAAGGACTGAATGTGCAATTCATATCTCATGCGTATTTAGTTCATATTGGATGCATGATACTAAATGCATATTTACTTCATACATATTGCAAACCAAGGGCAACATGTCAACGCCGGAAGTCAACGGTCAACGCTGAAGTCAACGCCAGAAGTCAACGGTCAACGTCGGAAGTCAATGATTTTTGCCGGAAGTCAATGGTCAACGCCGGAAGTCAATGGTCAATGTCGGAGTCAACTAATAATTATTTTATTATATAATTAATATATATTTTAAGAAGTGGACTCATTTGATCCTCCCCTATATATATATATATAGTTGGGTTCCGGTGAGAAAGAGTCTCAAGGAAAAAATAAGAACAAATATCACCATAAGATTAAATACAACTTAATAAAAGTCAAAATTATACTTTCATTAAGGGCATTGTGGTATTTTTACACACCACATTTAAAGAGTGGGTCCCACAACACATTAATACACATTTCAAATACTGTCAATTACTCATGTGACCAGCCCACTCACCCCACCCCACACTCTCTTTCTCTCACACACACGCGCACAAACGACCACACACACACACGTATACATGCAGATACATAAAGTTGCAACATTAAAAAAATGCTACAACAAACACATTTGTCCCTCATCGTCTCCAACCTCCCACTGACGCACCACCATCGCCGTCACACAGCTACCCGTCGTTGCGGACGTCGGCGTTCCTCCGCCGCACCACTATGCTCGCACGCAACATACACACACACACACACACACACAGAGCACCATCGACCTCTGCCGCCGACGCCTCAATCTCCGCCGCCTCCTACAGCTCGAATCACGCCGTCGACAGCGAGAGAGGTGGTGATACGGGCGACATTCTCCCTGTCCCCGTTTGTCTCCTCAGCACCGTTGGACGTCGTATATGCTCACCAGGCCGACGATGGCATCGTGAACAAGGTGGGTCGACAGCTCTTCAGGCGGCATGCACATCGGTCGTGGTGGTCGGACGTGAAACTCCGGTCAGCTCCAACCATGGCGGACACCAGTTTACTCGGCCCTGAACGGCGACGGAACATAGAGGCTTTGGTCCAACCTCCTGTGATCGGGACGGCAGAGGCGTGGGTGGTGGTCGGCAGGAATCTGGAATTTGAACCAGGCTTCTTATTGGAAATTAGATTATTTCAAGGATCTTATATAAAATTTTACAAAGTTTAATTATATTGCAATTGAGTGCGTGGGTTAAATCCGAAATAATGAAAACTTTAATAAAAGCACATCTATATCTATATCTATATCTATATATATATTAAAGCAAAGCAGCTCAAAATTTCCCCCCAAAAACTACATTTAATATATTGTAATAACTTTATCATTTTCTATGCATGATTTATCAAAAAATATATTTATGTCATATAAACAATTAATTTATATTTTAAATGTATTTGAATTTGCACTCCAATTTTTCTTGACTAAATAAATGCTTTAACTACATCTATTACCATGAAATAAACTTTGTTAATTTCTATGTGTTGTTAAATGATTTTGTAACAACATAAAACGTACACCCCTATTCCGTGAATAGGGGGTGTAGGATTTATATGAAATTGTAATGATTTTTTTGGGGATATATTTGTACTGAATAATTGTAAGAAAAATAAAAGAAGAAGTTGAAAAGAAGAATTATCTGTGTCTTTTCTCTCTGTTCATGGCAAAAGGCAGCCTTTTACTTAAGAGGCGGTGCCTCTGTTTTGGATAAAGGAGGAAGAAAATTCCAAGTCCCCCCATCCCTATCCTTTAGCCCCTATTTATATCTGGACTAATACCGGTCCGTATGTCTAATGAGTTTTTACGATAAAACATGACCACGCAGGGCCCAATAATAAATATGACCGCGCAGGGCCCAATAATAAATATGACCGCGCAGGGCCCAATAATAAATATGACCGCGCAGGGCCCAATTAATAAATATTTGGGTTGACTGACAAATTGACTGGTACTCCGACTGGTATTTGTCTTGTCAGCAATTGACGTGTGTATAAGCGGCTTCTTTGTGATATCAGGGTCGAGCTGGCGGTCTTTGAATACGGACCTCATCTTCTGGGAACTCGATCAATATTAAACATATAAAAGAACCTGCTAGTTTATATTTATTTAATATATATATCCACGTGTAATATTTTAATAGGCGAGGCCAAAATTAGGTAACAACAGTAGGCCCCCGACTTTAGAATACGTTCTGAATAGAACTGTTCTGAAGTCGCATGTATAGTCAATTTTGGCTGACTTATGCTTTATAATATGTTTGAATGATGTGACATATGAATGTCGTCCGGGTACTTTGGGACCCGTAGTCGCTTTATCGCTCGTGTTCAGGCTTCGGCCTGACTTATTAATGTCGATCGTATTTACTTGATTGAACGAATGGGGTTGACTGTGTGGATAGTCAACTTTTTGAGATTACTATATAAATGGAGACCTGGATGG